CCCCCCCCAGGGGGGATGGTCACACCACAATCCCTCCTCCTCCATTCTCCTCTCGGGATCTTGGGCACGCACGCACACGTGCCTAGCGTTGAGTTTAAGCCACCGAGTCCGGGACTCGAACTGTGGTCGACTACATGGGAGTTCAGTGACATAGCCATTATACTAACTGCTGGTCCTAGCTCTTGAAGGTTTTTAATAAAAAGAGTTATATAAAAAAGAATTAGGGTTTTTCAAAGAAAACCTGGGAGCAACACACAAGATGAACTAATGTCAGAAAGGACAAAAGGAGAAAATTCTTGGGCAAAAGTAGTTTTTCTGACATAATCAATTATGTCTGATTTTGTTTTAAAGTTTGGGTTTTCATAGATAAACTTTTAAAGCAACGTCTATCTTTATTTAGAACCTGGATTCATAGTTTAATGGCAGGTTGTCATGGAAACCTCCCGGCAGCGGCAGCTGCTTACCTGTAACAGAGAGACTGGTCACCGCGGCGCTGGTAAGAGGGAGGACAGGGTTGACCGTGAGGGTGGTTGCTGCACTGCTGGTCACAAGGCTCGGTGTGGTCGCCACCTAGAGGTCGGAGATGTAAATGCACACGGAGCACTTCCCATCAGAACGCACCACTTAGACCCGTCTCAGGGACTTGCTTGCCTGTCACATTTTTTAAACTCTAAGTACATCAGAATAAGATGAAAGGGCCTAAGAGCAAGTGATTTATAATAACTCTTTACTTTTGGAATTGAGAAACTTGGCATCCTGCGTTGGAACACTGCTATGGAAAAGATGGTTTTTCACTAATGATATAAATGCCTCTGATTAGGTTTCAAAAATAAATTAAAAACCACCCCAAATTTTGATCATGTTGAGTCAGACATATTCTAAGTCAGTAAGAAATACTATACCAATGATCAACTTTACCTACGCAAGAAAATGTTTCGGCAGGATTTCTGCACTGCTTTTAGGTTTTACTCTGTAGGGCAAGATGGCCTTGTTTTTACGTTTAGTGAATGGTATTCCGGAAGCTGTGCTGGCCAGCGTGGAGGTGTGGCAGTGACAGCGCTCGGCAGACTGAGGCCACGTGAAGGCTCTGGTCTGCCCCTCACAGCCTCTGTGCGCGCCAGTGTCTGTGGGTGTGCGCATTCCGGATGCGACACCTGCTGGGGGTGCTGGGAGTGGACCGGTGTGTGACGACCCCATTGGGAATTATCTCCCCATGAAAGAAAGAAAGAAAGAAAAGGAGGGAGGGAAGGGAAGAAAGGAAGGAAAAGAAAAAAAATTAAAAACAAAACAAAGTTTCCCTTAGTGGGACCAGCAGATAGCGTAACAGTTGTGTCACTGGACTCCCACGTAGTCAACCGCAATTTAAGCCCTGGACCCAGCAGCTTCAAACCCACACATGGCACATGTGCCTGTGTGCCCAGGATGCTGGGAGGAGAATGGAGGAGAAGGGATTGCAGTGTGGCCATTTCTCCTGGGGGGTGATTTCTTGCTTTCTCTCTCTGTCTCTGTCTGGCGAGCATGTGCACCCTATAGCAAAAATCTCTCTCTCAAAAAAAGTTTAATTTAGTAACAATGTAAGAAATTTCTGCAGTTTTACAGGAAATACTGTCTTCCCTCTACTATAGATACATCCAAAGCACAGAAGAGTTACCTACACAGAATAACCCTGCTATCTAACAACTACCTTTTACATATATCACAAACTTTACGATTAAAGTCCTGCTTTTCAAAGGTCACAGTCTTTACTTAACATACTAATTAACGCCGAGTTCAGTTTAAAAAACTCAGAGTGGAATGATATTCAAATGAAGTAAAAACAAATGGACAGAAGTGGGACAGAAATGCAGACAGAACGACCTCGCTTTCTTTGGAGCCCTGGTTGGCAGTGGGAGTCACAAGAGCCAAGGGCATCCGTGACACCACACGGCCCTCAGTCTAGGGTCAGGAGCCACGTTCTCTGCAGACCGAGGAAGTCACTCAGTGAGGTTAGACTGGAGGGTGAGGCACTGTCTGGGAGTTAAGATCTGAGCTGGCTGCTTCCTCACAAGTCCAGGTACTAAAGATTCTTTGAGATATCTGGAATCAGCATCAAATTTCTCCCACAGGTTTAGGGTAATCCAATGAACTATACCAGAGAGGAGAACAGAAATGGAACAGAATAGGAAAGAATTCAAACTGTTCTGTTTCAGAATCAGGACCAGTAAGTTCTGGGGTGAACACCTGAGATTCACTTTCTTGATAACGTGCAGTAGAGATTCCTTTGCTTCGTTCGCGTACGCATGTGCAGTGCTCCCGTCAGGAAGTGGGCTGACCGCGCAGGTCCTTGAGGGACTGGGAGCGCCAGCCCCGGCCCGCGCCCTGCCCTCTGTGCTTACCAGTGAGGTTGGGCTGGGGAAGATCGCTTTGATGGGTGAGTTGCTGGTCCCACCGCTGCTTGGGGGGTTGATCCTCTTCTCCTTCTGGCGGCGGTTACAAAACCAAACACGAATCACCTCCTTTTCCATATTGAGCTGATCAGCAATCATGGTGATCTCTTCCGAGGTAGGCTTTTGATTCTGAAGGGGAAGAACACCGACTCGGAGTAACTGTCAGCCACTGGCATCGTCGTGTCAGTATGTGAACAGACCAGGGACACGCCAGGAAACGAAGCTGGGCTGTATCCGATGGCTGTTACATTTATTAAACTTGTTCACATTAATTTAGAATAAGTCATGTTGGAACACTTACATTCTTTTCATTAAAAAAACTGGAATAAAATGAACAAAATACCAATAAAGCCGTATGTGTCGCTAGGCATGTAAATCTCTGCGTGCTTCAAGCCCACTCTCTAACTTGGGCCTGAGAACACGCCGAGGACACAGGAAGGGCAGGCGTCTCACAGATGAAGGGACATCGGCTCCAAGAAATCCCAGGCTCTGCCTGATCGCGGTTAAAAAGCAGCAGAGTCCGCTTCTCAGTCCTTTAGACAAGTTGAATTTGGCTGAGGATTTCGATGATGGTATTTCCTAGCACAAGTGAAAAACCCAAACTGCCAAATCGCCGTTGAACTCCAAGCCGGACATCCAAAGCGTCTACTGTCCCGGTCCCAAAGGACCATTCTAGACATGCAGACACTGACTTAGGCACCCCTCCGGCTAGGGTCTTCTGACAGGCCCCGCAACCGCCCTGGACGCCTCTGCTCCCCGCTTCCTCTGACTGAGCGCTCTGCTCCCACCTCTTCCAGCTGACGGAACTCAGTCCCTGTGCATCCTACAGTGGCTGCGACTGCCCCTGGCGCTCATGTGGACATGGCCTGGTGCGCCCGGTTCTGCCAGCTGTCAGTAACTTATTGACCCTTACAGATGTGCCACATCGTGAGCATCTGAAAGGGTCGAGGCTGACAGACTGCTCTCTCGTCTACGGTCCCTAATGGGGACCCACGAAGATGAGCCCCGATCGTGCAACGTCTGGACCTTACTGACCTCCAAGAAACTCTTCTCTAAGGCCACACGGATGTTGGTCTCTATGCTGGTGCGTTTCTTCCTCCTACGGTTCAAGCCCTCGACTCCCTGCCCTGGAGAATTCAGGGCACTGGGGCTAGAGAGAGCTGAATCAGATGAGAGGTTCTCTGCAGGAATGAGAAACACAGAAGGAGAATCATAACAGCTGAGTGTGATGACTCATGCACATAACATATACAGAAACAACAGAACTGACCAGACACTTTCAGCGACGGAAGGCCTCACGGGACCTAGACTGCCGTGGGTCTCCCTACTGCCCTCCCTGGCATTCTTTGTGCAGGATGGCTGACTATACTGTCACTGCGGCTTCCCGTTTCGGAGAACAGAAGTTCATTATTCCTACTCCAAGACAAGGCTCTCAGTTCTCATTTTGTATTTTGTGTGCTTGGTCATAGCTCTAGGGACAAAAGAAAAAAACCTTAGTGGGCTAGCCCCGTAGCACAGTGGCTACATGCTATGCACTGGAAGCTAGGACCTACATGGCTGACCACAGTTCAAGTCCCGGTTCCGAAGGCTTGAAAAACAAACCAAGTACTCAAAATCCTGATGAGAAGGAGAAATGCAGGAAAGGGATTATGGTGTGAGCACACCCCACAAGGGAGACACTTTCTTCTTCTCTGATGAGTGTATGTAACCTCTGGCAATTTGGAAGGGGTGATAAAAGGAAGAAAGCTTCTTAAAATTAGTAAATACTTCATATTTATTTTATAAATAATTTCTCATTTATTGGTATAGTTTATGGTTATAAAAAGAAAAAGGGGAGACCAGCAGTTGGCATAATGGCTATGTCACTGGACTCCCATGTAGTCAACTGAGGTTAGTCCCAGACCCAGTGGCTTAACTCACGCCGGGTGCGTGTGCGTGCATGCCCAAGATCCCAAGAGGAGAATGGAGGAGATGGGATTGGGGCATGGCCATCCCCCCAGGGGGTGATTTCTCGCTTTCTGTCTCTCTGTCTCTCTCTGGTGAGCGCAGGCGCCCTATAGCAAAATCCTCTCCAGAAAAAAGAAAGAAAAGAGGGGAAGCTGGCACTACAGCTCAGCAGCTGGCCCTGTGCAAAGTCGGATCCCATGGGGCCAACCAGCTCGACTTCCAGCCCTGGTAACCTGAGAAATACGCTAGGTGTGTGGACCTGTGCAGGTCCTCGGAGGGAGGGGACCTCAGAGGAGAGGATTGTAGCATGGGGAGGCCCCGCTGGGGACACGGCCCCTCCCCTGCCACTCTGCTTCCTCTTATGTGGATGCTTGTACTCTCTGGCATTTAAGAAGAAAAGAAAGAACAGAAAGAAATGCTGCTAAATTCTCTAAGGCAAAACAAACTTGCCATGTAGTAGTTCAGAGACCTAGGCATGTGCTTCCCTCTGCGATGGGTAAGAGGCGGTGAGGGCAGACCGTCCCTCCCACCCGAGGGATGCGGCAGGACAGCGGGGTCAGGGCTGCGCTCCCCACATGGAGTCAGGCCCCGGCAGTGTGTGTCTCTGCTGTGTCTTGTAGAAAGATCTCATCCTTATTCACAAACCCCAACGAGACTCATCGCCTAAGCGATGTCTGTGCTTCCTCAGAGCTCTCAGCCTATGACTGTGACTCAAAATCCAAACAGGTAGGTGAGAGTCAGCAGCCCAAGCTGTCTATGAAATAAGTGGTCACTTTCAATGACAAAGCAGAAATACTACCAGGACATTTTTCAGTAATTAACAGAGAGAACAATACATTTGTTCTTCAAGTTTATCTAAATATGCAGGCCTTCTTATTCTCTTCCTGTCCCTAAGTTTCCCTAATCCTGGTTCAAATACAAGAAATATTCCAAAGCTCAGTCATTCATGATTATTTCCATTGTAATAACTAGAACATTTAAATGAATTTTCTCTCTCAAGTACAAAGCCATAATGTATAAGATGCTCCTAGGATTAGTGAGCTTCAAGGTTCTATAGTACCAATAATGCAGTAAGAAACAGAAGCCCCTTATGCCAGCAGGTGGAGTGATGGTTTAGGCAGCTGATCCCACATGGCTGACTCTGTGGTTCAAGTCTTAGATCCAGCAGCTTGAAAACCACACCTGGCACGAGTGTTTTCATGCCCAAAATCCTGAGAGGAGAATGAAGGGAAAGCAACTGTGATGTGGTCATTCCCCCCCCCTCCGGGGGGGGGTGATTTCTCACTTTCTCTGTCTCTCTCCAGTGAGGGCATGCAACCTAGAGCAAAAAACTTAAAAAAAAAAAAAAAAAGAAAGAAAGAAAAAGAAAAAAGTCCAATTTCTGTAAAAATTCCAATACATAGGGATTAGCAGATGGCATAATGGTTACATTGCTCGACTCCCCCCTCGTAGTCGACTGCGGTTCAAGTCCCGGACCTGGCTGCTTAAAACTCATGCCAGGCGCGTGTGGGTGTGTGTGTCTAAGATCCTGAGAGGAGAAGAGAGGAGACAGGATTGCAGCATGGCCATTCCCTGTGGGGAGGTGATTTCTTACTTTCTGTCTCTCTGTCTCTCCAGCGAGTGTACGAGACCTACAGCAAAAATCTCTCTGGGGAAAAACAAACAAACAAAAATTCCAATAGATAATGGGAGAAATTTCTCGAATATGCACTTACCTGCATCATTTAGCCACTTCTCTAGCAGTGGCTTTAACTTGCACATGTTCTTAAAGCTGAGATTCAAGGCTTCAAAGCGAGAGATGGTAGTTTGGCTGAAGTCATTTCCATACAGTTTGCCCATGGCGAGCCCAACATCGCCCTGCACGACAGAGAGCAGGAGTGGGGTTGGGAAGAGGAGGAGAAAGTGCATCACTGAGCCGAGCTCCCAGTAACTGCCCGAGGCCGAGAACCACCCATCCTTCTGCTTCAGCTCCACTCCTGCCTAAGCAGAGCATTCCCACGAGGACTCTGCTGGGCCTTGACCATGACAAGGTTCAACTCTATCCCATCTGCTTTCCCATGCTACCTTATGTAGTGAGGTAAAATTCCGACTAGGTCGCAAAAGGTCATGCTGATATGTGATTAATATAAGCCTCTTAACTGACACAACCAAACTGATTTAAGTAATCTTTAAAAATCAATTTACCTGTGTTACTTACAGAGATTAGATATAACTATTTAGATATTCCTAGGTATTTCTGAAGTAACCCAACTCCTATAAACCACTTTAAAATTTAGAAATGATCCCTCATTCTTTTTCTTCTATAAAGTATTTCTGGAAGCCATGAAAAAAAAATCTATTTTCACCCATAGTTTGGATTTCAAAGTTGGTTACAAAAAAACAGGTGTTCTAAAAGACCACTTTTGTAACCATTATAGAGACAGAAATTCACAGTAGAGAGGTTTGACCTATTTAGTCACGCCTCCATGGGCACTGGAAACTTGGTAACCTTATAGCAATAGAACAATGATCCCCTGAATATATTACAAAAGATGTCTTTCTCTATAAGCCTGGAACCTTTGAAATGTACACAGCGCTTTTCTTCCAGCTGAATCTCCCTTGTTCACACTGGGGAAAGCCTTATCTTACAGTTACCATATACCCAGATAACAGGCTCATGAAGTTCAAATGATTCACCCACTCATTTCCATTAGTTCAGTCCCAGGGCAGAGAAGCAACAACTCTTCCGGTCCAAAGTGCCTACTAGCCAGCTAACTCTACTGTGACGGCCAACTCCCAACTCTCCTGGCCACACTCACTCTGAATCAGAACCACCCTAGTCCTGATCCCCACCTCGCTCACACCCAGTTGGATACTACCGTGTGTATTAGTACCTACACTGGGTGGTACTTGGTGGTGGTGTAAAACACTTTTCTCCTTTCGGTTTTTGCTATAGGGCGTGTGAGCTCACCAGAGAATAGTGAGAAATTACCCCGCCCCAGGGGAGATGGCAACACTGCAATCCCTTCTCCTCTTAAGATTTTGGGCACCCTCCACACACACATGCCCAGCGTGATTTTCAAGCTGCCAGGTCTGGGACTTGAACCATAATCAGCCATGTGGGAATATAGTGCCTTAATCAGCAAACCACCTGCTGGTCCCTGAGAACCCCTTTTCAAACCTTCATTTTCTTACTAGTGGTAAATTTGTGATAAAAAGTTTAACAAACGGTAAACATTGGAAGTATTAAAAAAAAGACAGAACACCTAACCTTCAACTGATCTACGTCTTACTACTCCTAAAACCACAGCCACAAGTCACACGTGACAATTCAAATCTAAATGGCCTAAAATCAAATAAATTACTCTCACACAGCACATGGACAAAAATCAAATATGTTACAGGGTCCGTTCTTCGGCACCACTAGCCCTTTCGCGTGCTCAAGAGCCACAAGCAGATGATGGCCACCTGTTGGCCAGCACGAATAGGCGACATTCCCATCTCTGTCCAGAAGCTCCACGGCTCGGGAGATGCTCTACCCAGGCCGCGTGGACTCACTGATCTCCTGCCGTCAGCAGCAAGACTGGGAGAACCGGGAAAGCGAGCAGGACATACATGTGGCCCCTTATGGCCAGACACAACATATCTGAAGATCCAGGGGGGGTCGGCCCACATCTTCCCACGTTCTTTATTGTGTGTAACCTAATTCGGTGGATGGGTGGTCCCCTAAGTGCCCACTGTGTGTGTCAGGAACTTATGGTGTGTATCACGTGGATCCGCGTCACGGTCAGTTTGCTTAAGTTACAGCTTTCTAGGATACGGGGGCCGATTAAATGTAGAATTGTTTGAATGTAAGACCTTCAGTGGCGGTAAATGCTTCCTGACATTGTAACTGTACAGTTTGCTAAGATTTTCCCACAAACTTCTGTAAGATGTTACTGTGAAAATAATTTTGCGAGGAAGAAGAAAATAAAATCCCATTCGAAATCACATCTACTGAGTATTAGCTGATGGCTGTCAGTAAAGGTACAGTATCAGCTCACTAGAACCACGGCAGTAAACGACAAACCCGCATGAGATTTGTAATACCCTCGCAGCAGATATAATCAGATGCATAACCCAGCTAACGTACTTGGCTTAGTGCTCCTGTAACTCACACCATCTTGGGCTCTCCTTCACAGGAGCGTTTTCAGCATTTGATTCATATACAATCTGAACTACATTAAATCCTTTTGATACTTTCAAAAAGAGCAAGACTGAAATGGAGAAATAATGAATACACCATGTGTGGTAAGTGTGATATGACACGTTTTCTAACTATGCTGTGAAACCCCTAGCAGTCCTTTAGTAAGCAACTACAAAATTAAAAAATAACTACTGCTTATAACTCAAAAAAAAAAAAAAAAAAAAAAGGTCCCAGCCACAGCTGAGTGCCACTGCAAGATTCTGGGACTGCATAGCAGGGACGGGAGTTTGGATCCTAGGTCCATCCGAAACATCAGGTGCACCTGTGACACCGGCTAGCTAGAGGGTGGGGGCTGGGGAGCGTGGCTAGCAAGATCCTGTCTGGGGTCCCATCTCTGTCTCTCTCATAAGAGAAATGAATGTAAAATAGAAAGAAAAAGAAGACACTACTTGAAACATCTAATAACATGCATATTTAACTCAGAAGATAAGATTTTTTCATTTTGATAAATACCCTGAAAGTCCAACTTTCTCTTGTGTGTATGTGTGTGTGTACTTAAATGTAAATGAACTGAATACAAAGCAACCTGTGAATAACTGACTTAAAGACATAAAGGTTGGTGGACTGATTTTCCCATCCAGTAATATGGCTTTAATCCACGTCGTTGAGGTGTGAACCACTGCCGCGGCCAGGCCACTCTGAAGGATAAAGACTGGGTTACGCCAAAAAGAGGATGAAACCACGGGGCAATCTCCAGACCACGTGTGGCTCCTTTACACGGAGAGAAACAGCACTGAGGACGCACTGGGCCAAACGACACGGGAAGGTGAAGCACTGGTTGGGCAGACGTTAGACTGGCAAGTCCCCTGACATCCCTGAGCTGTCATTCAGACAACGACCTCCCAGGGAGCCCCAGGACACAGGGCTGACAGACTAAACGGGAAGCACTGCTAAATATGTTACTTGACATTTATGTCAGCTCATTAACTCACCCCTATCAATGTAGTTTTGTTTTAGCATTTTCTTTTCCAAATAAATAATTTTAATCTTTCTTTTTTTTTTCCCCTAATTTGGGCATGGGCACTCACCAGAGAAAGACAGTGTGGGGGATTGGGGCGGAAGTGAGAGGGTGAGAAAGCAAGCTGCCAGGTCCGGGACTTGAACCGTAGGCAGCCATGTGGGAGTCCAGTGCCTTAACCACCTTGTTACCTGCTGGCCTTTTAACTTTGCTTTAAAAACAAGCCAGATCATTCAGCTGCTTTAAAAGTACTAAAATAGCTCTATATTATAATTTTTTCATAACTGTAACTCCTCACAAATGTAACTGAATTTCCTTTCAAATTATATCTATTTTTAAAATAATTTCATGACCCTAATACATAATTAGTTTCTTTGAGCAAAAATAAATTCCTAAAGAAATAAAAGAAATGCAAGTCTGATACTGAAAACACCTACAATATGTGAAGTAATGCCAATGCTGGTTTTTGACCTGCCCGAGCAGGTAGTGTTATTATACTTCTAATGTAAAATAACTTAAATAGTATTTAAATGGGAGCTTTAATCCCAAACAGCGATTGTATTCTCTGGAAAGAAAGCATCAGGTTTCTCCTGACTCGTAAAAACACCTAATCTAATCCATAAATGCCATTCAGTTTGGCTGTTTTTGTGACAGGCTAATCAAAGAGTAAGTCAGTGGCAGTGCTTAGAACAAAAGCGCTGTGTATCCAGACGCTTGTTTAAACCAACACAATCGTTCCACTCCAAGGCCCTCCGTTAGCAGACATACAAGAAAAGTTCGCTGGATCTTGATTAATTTGGATTTTCACCTCAGTATTTATTTGACGATTAGTTGCGTGCAGGCTTAGAGAGTTCCTCTCCACTATCCCCTCACTGCCCCAACAAGTAACCAAGCCTCTGAAGTTTTCCCACTTCAGCTATTATAACTGACGCTGTGTACTCTTTCACTCTTACACATGGAGCACGAGGCTCTACAACCAGATGTCCTTCAAATAAGAAAACCCTCAATATAATCATATCATAACCTTTTTCTTCCTTTGTGAAGATCTTTGGCTACATATGCTCGCTGGATCGAGAGAGAGGGGAAGAGAGCACTGAGAGGGAGAGAGAAAAATCACCCTCAGGAGGGGTGGCCATGCTGCAGTCCCTTCTCCTCCAGTCTCCTCTCGGGACTTTGGGCACACACACGTGCACACAGTGTTTCTCAGCTGCCAGGTTCGGAACTTGAACTGCGAAGTAGGCCGTGTGGGATCCAGTGCCTTAACCTCCACACCACCTGCTGGCCAGGTACCACACTCTTCTAAGCACTCACAATGTATTGCTACGACCTCAGAGGCCTGTGTTCTTCAGAGAGAAATCTTGAAAGATTTTAACCTAAAATTCAGTTGTAATCTTACAACCAAATATATAATACCTGTTTAATTAAAACTGGGGGGAAATTGTTCAACTATTTTGTCCTAAAATGGCCACTGTACTTCCACACTTGGATTCCTACAGCAAAGCTAAAATCATACGTGTTAGGCTGTCTTCCAGAGCTGGTTGCCAAGTCCCAGCCAATCACACCAGCCACACTCCGTCAGCCACAGAAAGCCCACCTTTTGGGCTGTTTGTACACCCTACCATCCACCTGGATGGAACCAATTCAATTGCTTCTCTGCCCCACTGACGTTTTTGAACGTCATTTCCCTTTTCTGGAACTTAAATACCAAGTCAACCACAAGGCTATCTGGAATTGTCCAGAAGTCTAGGACAACTGCCTGATTTAAACTGTATTAAGATTTATTCAGTTAAAACTCTACTCTATTAAATCGACTGGTTTGTATTTCTTTTAACATACCCTCAACTCAAAAATGTAGGAAATGGCCAAGAAAGAGAGTTTAAAACTAAAAAAACAACATGGCTAAGGAACATCCGGCTCCCTGGAAGCCTCTCTGGACATGGAAAGCAAACAGGCCCACGCTGAGGAGGGCGAGCAAGGGTGGGCCAGGCCGCGCCTACCTGAGTGAATCCTAGTTTGATCCGTCTTTGTTTGAAGGTCTTGGCAAACTGCTCAAGCTCCTCAAGGTCACTGGGCTCCTCCAAGCTGGGAGTATCAATTCGCTTTGGTGTTGACTGGCTCTGTGGAAGTGTCTGAATTGGGGTTGCTGCTATTGTGCGTGTTGGGGTTGCTGGCTGTTGGAGAAGAGCAGACCGGTTAGAACACACACACACACACACACACACACACACACACACACACACACACACAAACGATACGTGTGTTTATGACAGAATTGTGCTGCAAGGAAACAACTTGAGGGGGCTTCTACATTGTGGAGGAGGAAGGCCGGCCCCACCACAGAAGGATCGGCTGGTGTCAGCAGGAAGACATCTGTGAACTTGTCCTCGCTACAGGCCCATGAGGTCCAGCACATAAGGCTACGGGAGAACCTGAATGCACAGAAATGTTTTCTGGGTCTTCAATTGTCTGATACACGTATCCTAGCCTTTTAATAAATGACTCACTTTAAGCATCTAATAGATTACTCTTTAAGAAACCATTTCACAAAGATGCCACTTGGTCCATCAAAACAGCAGAGACCGTATCTGTCTTGTTCATTACTATCACCTCTCCAACAGATGGCACTGATTTATTAAAACTGTATTTCAGGACCAGCAGATGGAGCAATGGTTATGTTGCCAGACTCTCGCATAGTCGACTACAGTTTGAGTCCTGGACCCAGCAGCTTAAAACTCACACCGGGTGTGTATGTGTGTGTGCCCCAAATCCCAAGAGCAGAATGGAGGAAAAGGGATCGCGCTGTGACTATCCCCGCCGGGGGGTGATTTCTCAGTTTCTATTTCTGTCTCCTTTTGTCTTTCCAGTGAGCATACACACCCTATAGCACAAATCTCTCTCTCTCTCTAAAATAAAACACAAAACTATGCTACAAGATGAAACGTATTTTAAGTAAGTCACTCTATAGTTTAAATAACTTATTTTTAAAGATTTTACTTAATTTTAACTTCTTATAATAGGCTACCTTTTTTGTATTTGTTCAAGGTTTCTCCATAGACCTACATCTTTCAGTCTTAACTGTAATTATGGCATACACAATTTATACTGTTTTTCTCACCTAACATTATATTTTAACTTTTTCCTATGGTATTTCCATCTTCACAATTATCGTTTTCAAAAGCTGAGACAATATTACTATAACTTATTTAACCATTTATTTTTGTTTAAAGAATTATTTAACTTTATTTTTACAATTATTTTAATATGACCAGAGAGAGAGGGAATGAGGGAGGGAGGGAAGAAGAGAAAGAAAATGCAAGCAGCCAGGTCCAGGACGTGAACCGCGGTCGGCCATGTGGGAGTCCAGCTTCCTTAACCACCATACCACCTGCCAGCCCCGATTTAACCATTTCTTAATTGCTGGGTACTTTTTTACTCACGTTTTCACTAACATAGCTAACACAACCATGAAAAGCTTTGTGCATACAGTATTTTTTCTACCTGTGTAGTTAGTTCTCTTAGATAAATTCACAGGAAGTTTTCTGGTAATTAGATGCACATTTTCAGTGCTTGATGCGTATCCTAAAGTCAGTTTAAATTATACAAAGCTAGTTTCCTCCATGTGCTCTGTATTAGCAGGCTTAAAAAACGTCTTGCTAATTCAGGGAATAAACAGTCCTTCACTGTTGCTGTCACTCGTGTTCCTCTTACTACTCCACGTGGAGACCTGTCCGTGTGTCAATCAGGGCTTGTGTGTGCTTGGATGCGAGCTGGGTTTATGTCTGTGACTCACTTGTATGTTGACATCTTTATTCTCAGCCTTTTTTTTTTTTTGCCATGAGGCGAGTGCTCTCCAGGAGAGGCAGAGACACAGAGAGAGGGAAAGTAAAAATCACTCCCTAGCAGGGATGGCCATACCACAATCCCTTCTCCTCTCCTCTCAGGGTTTTGGGCATACACACACATGCCCAGTGTGATTTTCCAGCTGCTGGGTCTAGGACCTGAACGATGGTCAGCCATATGGGAATTCAGTGCATCAACCACCATGCCACCTGCTGGCCCCCTCATCCTTATTCTTAAAGAGCTCATTAAATGTTATAGATTAGGCTTTCGTCTGTCATATCAATGCAAATAATATTCCTAATCTGCTCTTCCTTTTGCTTTTTCAGTGTATGTAAACTTTAAATTATTATTTGGGTATTGTTTCTTTCATTCTCGTATTTTCTGTTGCTTCAAATCTTGGTCTTATCACAGCCTTTTAAATTCTGCCATCTACCTAGTGAGTATTTAGTAAAAATTCATGTGTATTTCCGTAATGACTAACAGGTGCTTTTTTGTTTTTAAGAATCATTTTATTTTAACTTTATTTATTATTATTATTATTGTTACTTTCCAATTTGATCAGAGAGAGACAAAGAGAAAGGGAAAGTGAGAAAGGAAGCCATCAGGTCCAGGACTTGAACCATGGTTGGCCAGGCAGGAGTCCAGAACCTTTAACCACCACGCCATCTGCCACTCCAATGACTAACAGTTTTAAACAATTTCTAATATACTTATGGGGCATTCGCATATTTTCTTCAGTAAAGTAGCTTCAAATTTTTTTGCCCCATCCCCCCTAAATCAATTTGTCTTATTAAATTGTCTTAAATTGTCATATAGTCTGGATACAAATCTTTTATCACATGTATTTTAAGAATATATTCTCCCTATCAGTGGTTTTTCTTTTTATTCTCTTAAGAGGCCTTTAACTTCTACAATATTAAATTTATCAATTTTTTTTCTTAAATAGTGTTTTGTGTTCTATTTTTAAAAATCACTGCCTTACCCAAGAACATAGATTTTTTTCTTTAAAGTTTCTTCTAGACATTTAGGTTTGTGACTCATTTCAAATTGATACTTCAGATTTTGGAGCATTTCAGATTTGGGGTTTCCAGATTAGGGGTGTTCAACCTACAATGCACTAGTAATAAGGGGTAACTTCTACGCTGCAGAGAGTCAGAGCTAGAAGTGGGAGCTGGGATCAGTTATCTCCTTTCTAGGTAGGGAGCCTAAAGTTCAGAAAGGAAAAAAGTAACATGCTCAACCTCACAACTAGATAAGAAACAGAACCAGGTCTATAACCTAAGCCTCTAGAGGCCTAAGACCTGTGCATTTTACATGCGTATGGTGGTTCCAGAGCCTAATAGAGAAGAGCTGAAAAGCAACATTAAGCGTTGAAAGGAAAGAAAATAAAGAGATCAGAGCTTTTGTTGCTGTCTCTGAGAAAGGACAAAGGACCTTGATGGGCTTTAACTGAGGTGGCATGGCAGTTAAGGGCAGTGGACTCCTGCATGGCCAACTGCAGTTCGAGTCCTGGACCCGATGGCTTACTTTCTCACTTTCCTTCTCTCTCACTCTGTCCCTGTCAGGTCAAATTAAAATAAATGAAATGAAATAAAATGAAATAATTATTTTTCAAAATAGCCACCACACATCACTACTCATTTATTCCTGTGAACATATAGGTCATTCTCTATGAACTATAAGAAATAGAGGTTAGGAAGATTTTCAACGCCTTCAGCAATGTGGAAATGCCTTGCTATACCACGCTGGCAAGCCCAGCTGTGAATTCTGGGTCAGTTTGAAGACTGGCTTATTTTTATTAGGGTTTTTGTTTTGTTTTGTTATGTTTTAGTTAAACAAAGTCCAAAGGTTTCGCAAAAGAATAGGAGAAGAGAAGGCAAGCCTCAGGGGAGAAAACTGACCTGGGAGGTGAGGGTGATGCTTGGCTGCGACCTGGACCCGATGGCTTACTTTCTCACTTTCCTTCTCTCTCACTCTGTCCCTGTCAGGTCAAATTAAAATAAATGAAATGAAATAAAATGAAATAATTATTTTTCAAAATAGCCACCACACATCACTACTCATTTATTCCTGTGAACATATAGGTCATTCTCTATGAACTATAAGAAATAGAGGTTAGGAAGATTTTCAACGCCTTCAGCAATGTGGAAATGCCTTGCTATACCACGCTGGCAAGCCCAGCTGTGAATTCTGGGTCAGTTTGAAGACTGGCTTATTTTTATTAGGGTTTTTGTTTTGTTTTGTTATGTTTTAGTTAAACAAAGTCCAAAGGTTTCGCAAAAGAATAGGAGAAGAGAAGGCAAGCCTCAGGGGAGAAAACTGACCTGGGAGGTGAGGGTGATGCTTGGCTGCGACTGTAGGAGGTTGGCTTGGCTTTGCTGAGGTAGTTGCGTTAAAAGATTTTGCGCTTGCAGGAGACCTGCAAAAATACACACACGTTATGCCAGAAATATTAAGACTATTTTGAACACAAATCAAAAGAAAGAATAAGAGCATGACCTGAAAATTCTAAGTGCTCTTCTGTGAGTCTTATTGGTCTTAAAACTCTTGTCTTATTTGTCTAAAATTCAATGTTGCTATATACCAATTTGGGCAAGAAGAGAACATTCAAATAAAAGAGGTACATCTTTAGCATAATCTGAATAATTTCTTTGATAAAGAGTTAATTCTTCCTTTTATTAAGGAATGAATGGAAGTGAATAATTCTCTAATGGAGGAAGCTAGAAATTCAAAAAAAAAAAACCAAAACCCTCAATTTCTGATGGCAGAACCCACTGGAAACTGCGTACGTATGCTACACCAGAGAACTGCTTCATTAATGAAGTAGGCTATCCTGTAAGCAGGGAAAGATGCTGTGTTCCAGTCCTTTATCAAAGATCTGCCTTTCAGTGAAGATAAAGTTGAAAGGTAAGTCTTCCTTCACAGTAACGCTGAACCGTCTCAGCTTAAAAATGACTGATACGTGATGTCAACAAGGCTTCATGGGACTACTGACTTTCAAGTAAACATGTAAATCCTCAATATATTTATAGTGGAAGGCTAATCAATTACTTGACTCTACAATCTTTTTTTTTTTCCAGAATCTATCATGAGAGGGGGCTGGCAGGTGGTGTGGTGGTTAAAGGTGCTGGACTCCCACATGGCTGACCGCAGTTCAAGTCTTGGACCTGGTGGCTTTGTCTCTCTCTCCCTCCCTCCCTCTCTGGTCAAATTTAAATAAGTAAAGTTAAATAAAATAATTCCTAAAATAAAAGAATCTATCAAGAGAGGACCAATCTAGAATATCCTTATGTAAGTATTTAACCTATAGTAACCATTTTTAAACATAAAGCTGTTACTGTAATACTAAATATAGGATTTCTTATGCTGATATAAGAGTAAAGATAGAAATTACCTGACACAGAATGTGAAAAAAGAAAAAAAAAGGATCCTACCATTCAAAAATAATTTTCTAGAAAGCTCTGACTTTTCTTGTCCTAGGGCAAGCAAAACATACTCAAGGATGATTAAATGCAATTAAATAGAGAACATGTCATTACAGACTTCTCCTAAAAGGCAATTTGGACCAAAAAAAAAAAAGTTTATGGAGGTTTGAATGACCACGCTGCTTCCCCAAGTATCTATCTCCGTACAGATCGATCCACACAGGGAGCTGGGGGACCTTTCTGAATGTACTTCCTCATCAAAATGTCCCAACGGGCTCACATTACAAGCTGGGTAGCACTCGCAGCCACCGGCAATCTGGCCCTGTCCGGGGCCCACGGTTCATCTCTCACTGCTTCCTCCCACTCACTGCCTTTTCTCCTGGCTTAGGGTGAGCACGCTCCCACCTCAGGTGCTGTGTCTTCCCTTGCCTACAAGACACTTCATGGGGTACTCAAGCGTAGCAGCCCACCCTGCATCCATTTGGTTCCCAGTTGAAATGCTGCTGCTCCAGAACGGTCCTGGCAGGTCACGTGCCCATTCTGCCATAGGCGCATCCTCCCAGGCAGCCCTCATCTGCCGCTGCCTAGCACCTCTCGCTACCAAAGCACTTGTTCATACACTTACCGTCTGACTCCTCATGACTGCAAGTGCCTTAACTTGTAGACCAACGTCACATCCCTTACAGGAGCAATGGAAGGCACGTAGCAGGTACCCGACAAGCTGCTGAGTAAACTCAACTAACCCAACGTTCATCTCGGTGCCGTCCCTAGGCTTCCCTGAGGGTGCAGGGTGGGCAGTCGTGTCCCCACATTCTGAACTGGCTGAGGCTGGGCTTAGACCGTGCTGGAAAGACCTTGCCGGGGTGTTACTTTTGTTTTTCTTTCTATCGGGAAAAATAAACTCAAATACAAACTCAAATACATACATACGTACGTACATACATATATACTAATTGTACCAGTTTGAAAAAATTTGAAGGATAGTCTGGAGAGGAGAACAACACTGTATTTTATGTCAATGATTAAAATGAATCTAACATATAACATTTTTACAAATGAAAGACTCAAGAATATTTGGAAACAATGCAAACTGAAGCTGACATGAGCCCAAAGGACAGGAGCCCTGCGCCCCTTAAACACAGGGTGTTTCAACACATGAGCGTCTTTCAAGTTTAGCACTCAAGATTTCTACTACCTTGTAAGTGACAAGAGTAGATTTTAAAGATCATTTATGTCTAGTCAGGAATTATAATCCCAAATGTTTAAGTTTTAAATTTAAACATTAAAGTAGCTTATTTTATGAATAAATTCAAACCTTAGCTCTTTGTGCCAAAGCAAGATCAGCTGAAAATGCCAAGAGGTTTAGACTGGTTTTTTTTTTAAGTTTTTTTTTTCTTTTTTTTTGCCATAGGGCATGTGCACTTCTTAGAGGGAGACAGAGAGAGGGGAAGTGAGAAATCGCCCCAGGCAGAGGGCCATGCTGCATGGCCTTCTCTACTCTCCTCTTGGCATTCTGGACATACACACACACGTGCCTTCCCTGATTTTCAAGCCACTTAGTCTAGGACTCAAACTACAGAGTTGGCCATGTAAGATCCAGTGCCTTAACCACCACACCACCAGCTGGCCTGAAGCTCAGAGAGGTTTAGAATTTCCTTTAGGACCAATTCTTGCCACTTTCCTGCTCCCCAAACAACAAAAAACAAATAAACAAGTCTCCTAACAAAGAACATCTATTTATTTTAAAAATAAATAGTGAGGGGGCTGGCAGGTGGTATGGTGGTTGAGCTGCTGGACTTCCGAATGGCTGACTGCAGTTCAAGTCCTGGACCTGGTGGCCTGAGAATCACAGTAGATAGGGATCATCTAGATGCCCGAAACACTCAGACAAGAAGCCACTTTAAACCTGCTGTGTCCTGGTGTGTTCAGGGACCAAGGTGACCAAAGTTAGGCTCTAAACCTCATCTTCTAGACTCCCAAAGCACTCAGACAAGGTAGGGGACTTCTGTCTTCTTTCTGCCTCTAAATTATTTATTTATTTATTTATTTATTTATTTATTTATTTATTTATTTATTTATAAACAGCTTCTTCTCACCTCTGGCCTTTTCTTTCTCTTGCTAATTTCAGAATCCATTTTAAATCTGTGGGGTGTCTTGGCACCTTTGTGTGGCATGCTAGCCGTGTGGTTTTCATTTTTTACCTTTTAATAAGGACATTTCCCCTTTTTTGGTTGTTTTGTCTAGTTTTTCTTTTTTCCCTTTTGCTGTTTGCTTTTTTTTTTTTTTTTTAACTTTACTTTCCCACTTTGCTCTGCAGTCTATACACAGTGAGTGTCTAAACAGGCCTGGGTGCACTGTAGCCAAGCATCTGAATACTTTCAGGGTTACTGAAATCAACACTTATTAAACTTCCTGCTTTAAGTACGAAACTTCTTTTTATATATCTGAACTCCTAATTTCTTTCTTTTCTCAGTGTGGATACCACATTGCAAAACACAATAGAGGAGAGATTTTTGTCACAGAATGACCAGAAACCACTGCAAAGGCACAAGAAATATGAGAAACCAAGGAAATAGCTCTCCTGTAAGTGAAAAGAACAGTTCTTCACCATCCACAGACAGCACAGAGGAAATCATGGAAATGTCTGATAGAGAACTCAGAATATTTAGTGACAAAACTAAACAAGATACAAGAGGTGAGACACATGAACTCCAGAAGATGCAGGAGAAAAGAGACGAGTTCCAGGAGGTGGAGAAGTTCTTGCATGATCTGAAAGGTACTGCACACCATAAAAAACAAACAGAGCTATTAGAGATGAAGGATGCAATACAGGAAATCAAAACCTCCCTCAAAAGTTTTAAAAGCAGATTAGTCCATGCAGAAGATTGAATCTTGGATGTTGAAGGCAAAACCTCTGACCTAGCAAAAACAATCAAAACGGGACCAGCAGATGGCTTAATGGCTATGTTGCTGGACTCTGCAGTTTAAGGCTTGGACCCAGTGGCTTAAAATTACACTGGGCACATGTGCGTGCATGCCCAAGATCCCAAGAGGAGAATGGAGGAAAATGGATTGAGGCGTGGCCATCCCTCCTGTGGGGGGGGCGGGGAGGGTGATTTTTCATATTCTCTCTCTGTCTTTCTGGCATGCACATGCACCCTATAGTAAAAACCTCTCCAAAAAACAAAAAACAAAACAAAACAAAAAGAAAACAAAAAACACAAAAACAATAAACAACAAAAACAACTGAGAAAATAACCCAAAAAATGAGAATACTATACGAGAAATATTAGATACCATTAGGCGCCCAAACACTGAATAATTGGTATTCCAGAAGGTGAAGAAACTAATAAGGGCATTGATAGTCTACTCCATAAACTCTAGAAGAAAACTTTTTAAGTCTAGAGAGGCATTCAACTATCCCGACCCAAGAAATACAAAGGACCCCTAATAGAATCAACCCAAGAAGATCTTCTCCAAGGCACATCATAGCCAGACTGACCAAATCCACAGACAAAGACAAGATACTAAAACTGGCAGGAAACAAATGTTAGGTTACTTATAAAGATTATCCCATCAGGCTAACAGCAGACCTCTCATCAGAAACAATGCAAGCAGGAAAAAATGGGAATATATATTCAAAGTGTTAAGTGAAAAACAGTTTCAACCAAGAATACTAAACCCAGCAAGATTATCTTTCATATGGGAAGAAAAAACAAAAACATCCTCAGATAAACAAAACCTGGAAGAATTTACCAACAGCAGATCAGCTCTTCAAGAAGTTCTAAAAAAGTGCTTTACCAAGAAAACTAAAGACACACATACAGAATAAGAGAACAAAAAGGGGGACCAGCAGTTAGCGTAATGGCTATGTCACTGGACTCCCATGTAGTCGATCATGGTTCGAGTCCTGGACCCACTGGCTTAAACTCACGCCAGGCGTGTGTGCGTGCATGCCCAAGATACCGAGAGGAGAATGGCGGAGAAGGGATTG